ATAGCCCTTGTGTAGCTTTGTGCATAATTAAAAAACAAACAAACAAAAACAAACTTTTTCTTTTAGAAATGACAAATGTAACAATTGCACACTGAGAGAATTGGTCTTAGTGTACGAGGAGGTAGTGATTAGTTATCTTACTCAGGTGTTTGCGAGATTGTTTTGAATTTTTTTAGCAGATAAACAAATCCGAAGGATCTGCGTTTGTACGCTCGTGTACGATGTAAATTATTATATACGAGGTAATAAAGATCAATTCTACACTTAGGGTCACATTGTATCTAGTCTCTGTAAAATGATATAAGTATCTTGTTATATTTTTCATTATTATATTTGTATTAGGTTAAAAAGGTTATTTGAATAAAAACAACTGAAATATATTTGCAGATACAAAAAACTTAGATGTCGTAAAAGTAGAGTCATATCGCGTGATTCTTTTGGCCGGAGTATTTGCATGAGGAGTGAATGTTTTTTTTTTTTGGTTTTAATTTTTTCCAAAAATGAGTCATCCTGGATTTGCAGCAATCCTCAAAAAAATTGAAACAGAAAAAGAAAAGTTTGATGCAATAAGTAAAGAAGTGTGGAGAAATCCTGAGCTTCGTTTTGAGGAAAGACATGCTCATAATTTGTTAGCGGATGCTCTAGAGCAAGAAGGATTCAAAGTCCAACGGCATTATATTCTTCCCACAGCATTTAGGGCTGAATATCCACCGGACAGAAGTTCGGGTTAGTAAAAGTGAAACTAAGTTTTAGTAAATATATAGACTGCACCGGTAATGAGTCCATTCTATTAAAATTCAAGTTCAAGATTTCGTAAGACTTGTTGGAAATCAATTTTATTTTGCACGAGAATTCCACGTGTGAACATATTAATTAATCTGATTGTTTTAATTTACCAGTATTTTGTCTGGCTTCATGAAGCCTTAGTTGTTGGTATAATTATTAAAATTTGGTATGTATGTATGTATGTATTTTCTTCAGTTTTTTGTAGATTAGCAGTTTCTTTTATATTTGTTTTTGTATAGTTTCTCATATTTAATTATGACACTGTCATTGACAGAATAGTTGACTTTTCTTGTGCAGCACTGCTTTTTAACCACTAAGCCAGTGCCACAGATTTGCAATTAGATTTACATTAGAACTTTGAACTGACCATTTCATAACTTGAGCGGCTTGAGCTTTTTCTCCTTTAATTACCTCTTACTCTTAGTTGACTTATTTTGTTATCACAATTTACAGGGCAGTATACTTTGGGTCATTATTCTTGTAGAATTCAGATCTAGTGCCAATTAAACGTTGAATGATGAACTGGTGTGTTGAAATACTGCTTCCTCTTCATATCATTATCAGAAAACAGGTAATTAAGTGATCTCCATTATTACAGCCCATCCACTGCATCTTACTGTTTCACTTTTATATAAATGCATTAGTTTTGACCACTTTAGTGGAGCTGTGGATGAATAGCCACTAAGAATTTGAGTCTGGTGAATGGTAATTTGAAGTTGGCATTTTAGCAACAAAGTGTAGCTCATCTACTTCTTCTAAAGTTGTAAAATTGTTATCATTAAAACTTGCATTAATGTATTAAGCTCACTCAATCCACCTGAAATAATGTGTGGATTAATATGCAGTTATGTCATGTTGATAATGAGGATGTCAGAGCCCTCAACGTGATTTTGTGAGGAGATAGGCATGGGTATATCATGCATTTTGCATTGTGGGGTTGTTTACAAATAGGAAGGGGATTTGAGGGAGTGCTGGAAACTCTCGCAGTTATGTTTAGGGTATAGTTCTGGAAACTTAAATCTATTAAATCATTCTCATTATTTCAACTTACAACAAGTTTGCATTAGAAAATAAATCATGTGAAACTTTTCTTATAAATTAGAAGAAGAAAACAGTAAGTAAATAAAATTTATTAGGGAGTTTTTATCATGTGAAATATTGACAGAATTCAACACTTATGATACCCACATGTAACTTAATTAGAACTTAAATATAAAAATATCAATTCTTTGCACATGAAGCCTTGCATTAAGAATAAGTTTGAACTTGCATATTTTGAAACTCTTGGCCATACAGATTTCAAATCTTGCAAACACTTAACCATCCTGCAAAAATAGAAAATATCTTAAGTTCATACACCACTATCTTATTATTAAAGAAATTCTAAAAGTATTATGCTATAAAAATAGATGTTTTATACACAGTATTATTAGGAATAAGTTTTAAGCCTTTATGGCCAGAAATTATAAAATCACAATGGTAGTGGAATGTCCAAGATATTTGGGACACAGACTCCAAACCTGTTGGAAATATGAAGAATCAGGATTTCCCACTTAAACTTCTGTAAAGTGTTGAAATCCATTAATGCCAATAGCAACTAATTCCAAAATCAGGTTGTGTCTAGTAAGTGTTAGAAGTGGTGATGATGTATAATGAATATATGTAGGAGGTACCACAATAGTCAAACAAAGATGTAGTACTATGACTTGCTATGCTGATTGTAGAGATTGACTAGTGAAGGTCCTAGTTTACTTTTATGATCATTATAAGTGAAATACGAGTCTTTAAAAGGCAATTTAAAATTGTAAATCTGTGTCAAAATTTTATTTAAAGAAAAGAATGAAAATTTGTTTAGGGTTACCACACTAAAATAGGGGCAGTCACAAACTGAAAACAAAAACTTTTTTCAGGTTTATGGACATATGGGATTAAAGCATGGATACCTTGGGGATTTCCATCCATTCCATTTTATGGTGACCAAAAGAAAATTCTGAGCATAAAATATGTTGAGACATTCACTAACAGAGACATTAAAAGCTTCTACTATATTAAATAATTTGTTACCAGGAATTTCAGTGTAATTCCTATTGTCACTTCTCCCCAAATGTAGCTTCATTTCAGAAATTCCAATTATATTTGTCTTCCATTTCAACTAGTTTTGAACTCATCCATTTTCTTCCTAATACTTCTAATATTGAAGAACATAATTAAACTTATTCTTAAATATACTATGTTAATCTATAAATCTCACTAGCATATTTGTGAATGAGGGAGCTAGGTAACCTTAGAATATTTAAACAAATTAATAGGACAGATATGGCAAGAAGGAATTAAGAAAAATATTTTTAGAGCTTTTTCAAACAACCTGAAAACTATCCCACATGTCCAATGAGTCCATCTGTTGCTGTAAACATGTCTGATAATCTCTTAATTCAAACCTACAGACTTATCTTTGAAATACTGAAGTTCTTTTTTTTTTTTTATTGAGTTGTTCTTATGCTGTCAGTAGTCATATGACCAGGTTATGAAGCTCTTAATACCAAACAGAGCATACATCAATGTATCCAGAAATCTTTACTTTCCCATTTTCCATGTGACTTGTATGTCAAGGGAACATATACAAGTCCTGCTTTCCTGCCATAAACCAGATTTTCTATTGCTGATAACTTCTCAATGCATTCTGATACTAATGATTCTACAAATATTGCAAATTTTATTACTGCTGTAGAGGCCCTACTCGCACACTGTGTCTCTAGCTAGCAGGGAGACTGATCAGCTGTATTATCAGCCCTCAATAATCAGTAATGTATTTGTGCTGTTAATATTGATTTGTCTGCTGGAGACCCTTATTGGGTTCATGATCATGTTGTGGTACATCCACCTTTTGTTTTTTTGCAGTGATGTACAAAAGGAAGCTTTTGCTGGCCTTATTTTTGGTTTTTTCTTTGGTTTGTCATATTTTAAATCTTGAACCAATTTCTGTTACACAGGAGAGTTCTAGTGTTAATGTTACATAATTCAGTTTATGAATCATTATTTATACCTTCTTTTGCTATTCAGGTTACTTTTGTAAATCAGCAAATGTCAATAGCCTCCATATTTCTCACATTTTTCCTGAGAGGGTGGGGAGGGGGCTTTTATTGGGGTCATCTTCTACTGCTGGTCTTTCCTCTCAAGTTCTTGGCCACCAAATATCAAGCTGTAGTTGATCTCACAATAATCATTAGAATGATTTAAACACTTTACTATTAGTGTCTAGCATGTTCAAAACTAATGGCTGTACAAACTGTTTTAAAATTTTTTTACTATACATGATATACAAATGAGATTAATTCAATTTATCTTGAAAGGCTTTTGGAACAAAAGAGAGAAATATGCCTTTATGCCACATCAAGTGTCACCAACCTCCACAATAATCATTAAAGGCATATTTAAAAATGCTAAGTCATTGAAAAAATTACTATTGACATAAGCTTCGCAGTCTGAATAATTTCAGAACTTATACCATTTATGACTATCTGTCAAAGGATAACACAAATCACTTTGAACTCAGAACATTAAAAATGTCATTGAGAGAATAGATGTGAACTAGATTTGTGAAAATATAAAGCAATTAAAATTTCACCTTGGGTATTTTATTAAATCATCCCTTTAAAGTAGCAGAGAGTAACAGAATCAAATATTAAAACAGTATCATAGAGAAAGCATTAATTTCTAAGTCAACTTTAGTTGAAGATCAAGGTATTAGAAGTGACATGTAGTTTACAGCAGGAAATGAGACTTATTCTAAGATTCTCACAGTGGACTTTCTGACATTAATGACTGGTTAAACAGGTAATAAAAAGGTTGCTGTGACCGTGAAATTAATTTTCATTTATATACTAGTTCAAAGTGACAATCTAATCCGTTAGTATGGTGGAGAGTGAACAAAGAGATATTTCCAATACAAAACTCAAAGTTAGACAAAGTCCTCAGAAGCATTTTTCTCCGGGATTTTGTACTTTGATACCCAATTACAAATTTAGGGTTCAACTAAAGTATTCTTAGTTCTGTAGTTCAAATTATCCAATAATGTATTTCACTAATATTAAAATAAGGACAGTTAATTTACTATTATCAAGTACTAATTAAGATGGAATATCAAAACATCCAGCTTTGAGGGAAGTTAAAAAAGCATTTGAACACCCCTCTTCTCCCTCCTGCAAGCAAAAAAAAAAGTTTCCAATGCCAACTACAACAGTCAAGAAGTATACCTAGAGTTACACTATAATAGGTTTACTGTGATATTTAATGCCAAAAGTGTAGAACCTTAAAAACAAACTGTAATAGTGTAATGATTTCTATAACATATTACTGAAATAAGCATGTCAAATTTACCTGCTATCTTTTCTCCAGCAGATATTTATAGCATACACAGGAGAACAAGACCATAGATTATTCATCTTTCTTGAGCCATCTGTACATTTGAATCCAATGATTATGGATTTTTTCAAACTGTTTGGATTTTATTAGTTCTCTCTTTTGGGGGATTTGGCATTTAATTTGGTTGTTTGTTTCCTGTGTCTATGTCATGTTTTTGATCCTTTTCATATTTTATCTTTAACATCTGATCTAGTTTATCATCTAAGTACTTACAGATTTAAAGAGCTTTAAAAAAAGCAAAGATAAATTTAAAAGTTCAATTCATTTTACAGAAAGGCAAGTTCAAGTAGCTGTTTTGTGTGAATATGATGCACTTCCTGCTATTGGGCATGCTTGTGGCCACAATTTGATAGCCGAGTCCAGCTTAGCAGCAGGATTTGCAATTAAAGCTGCATTGGAAACAGATCCCAGCATTAAAGGCAAGGTAAGGTTCACTTCTACAAATATATAATTTTTATTAGTGATCCAACATAGTTATTCATTTCAAAGTAGAAAAACATGTTATTTCAATAAGCATTTTTTTTTTATATTGAAATTAACAAGTTTTGTTGTGTACAGATACTTGTTTATTCATTTGTTTTAAAAAAGTATAATTGTGGTTTTGATTGGTCCTGGTATGATCTAGAGGTTAGGGGCTTGATTCGCAATCTAAGGGTAATGAGTTTGATTCCCAATTGCTGAATATGCTTGTTCTATATGGTCACCATCATTGTTGCTATCATTGTTATCATCATGAAACACTTCATTACCACATAGTCTCTCACTGCTTGCACACAGGCACTCATTAATATAGGGCAATTCCTGCTGAGAGCAGCTACAGTTATTGATGCATGGCTCACTCCCACAACATGAACAAACGAGATCATCGAACATCTCAACTGCTGTCAGACCATCAAAGAATTTGAGGTGAAGCACTTCTTCATATCTGTACCATCCATGACCTTCCGGTGAAGTAATACACGGATTTTCTAGATGGGTTGTCATCCACACTTGCCATTGATGAACAGATCTTTTGACATGCTCAAAGAATGCTGGTTCTGATGGTGGCAACTTATGTACTGGCACATTATTTGTTGTGAGTTTCTCTCGTAGATCATTCAGGTTGGTGTGTGCCTCGTCATATCTCCTTTGGGGATCATACATGATGCTGACTAACTGCCTTGAAACCATAACAGCAGTCTGGATGTCATTGGTAGCTCTTTTTTCAAGGATCAGATGATTGTGGTTAGTTTGCAGAGATTTTAGAGCTTTTTATACTTCTTCTTTCCATAACTATAGAAACCTGATATGTTGTCACAGCCAGTCAGTGCATGAAATGCTGGAAGACTTGCACACATCTCTGGAAGTAGGTCTTGGCATATATCATGCACCAGGATAATTTTGCATCCAGCTGAGGCTTTTTCTCTATCCAGAACTTTTCAGTATTCTGGAGCTGTGGAAATTAATGAACAGGTAAGATAAGCACATCAGTGTCTGTTGCTTTGATTGTGATGTAGCCATGCATATGCTTTCTTCTGAATTGCTCATCAGCTTGCTTCACATGCAGAAAGATCCTAGTATCAGCATCCTCCTGTGTTGATGACAGCTGACTATCATATTCCATGCCTGCAGAAGAAATGCAGGCAGTGAGCTTACCATCTAAGAAGCCCCCATCCAACTATAGTTGTTTCTCTGAATTGTTTGACAGCTCCTGAGTTCCGGGGGCATTCAGCATGATGTGATTGTAGATGAACTCTATGAGACAGGTTTCATTTGATGATAGAGGTATTAACATCGATCACTGAGGCACTAGACATCCAGAAATCACTAGGAATTTTCAGGTCCCACCAGTAGCAGCAAGATGTCTTGTCCTTTTCTCCATCTTCATGTAGTTGATATCGTCATATTGAACAAAGTTATCAATGACTGTGTTGTGTATGCTAACACAGTTAAGTAATTGATTCAGGTAGCCCTGTGCAAGGTTTCCAAATGTGCCATCATTTCCACCAAGAATATGCAGTTCAGCCATAGCATCTCTGATATACACATTGCACTGTGCATTATTTTGAACAGTGCTGCCATTCTCTTGTTCAACTAGATTCTCAAATATATGTTCCAGTTCTGCTTTGGTATTTTTTTTCTTGGTGCTCCATCTTCATGGAAGAGAGCTGTTGAAATTGACATGATGGGATAGCTCAACACATGCTTTATATTTAGATTAGGGTGGAATTGTGTCAAAATCAATGCATGACGAAAGACCATCTCTGAATTGATTGTGACCAATGTTTTTTGACCCATAATCTTGATTGCTGTCTTCTTTTTAGCAGTTAAAAAGGTTTTTACTTTGCATTTAGAGATCGGCTGGTACATGTTTCGTTGCCCATCTGTGGAAAGTGACTCATTAATATAGTCTTCCATCTGCTTTGTTCCAAGTTCAAAGCAGACAACAGAGACTTCAGAACCTCCTTGATTGTGATGACACCACTAGCAATGTTTACTAGCTGTTTATCTGGAGGTTGGGCAGGCTTGAATGAATGTGTCATATTGTCATTTAAATGTTGAATTATCTGCTGCACATCCTGCTCATCATGCTTCAAGGCTGATGGGTGTGTTTGTTCATGTCCTGAATTTTCTTTTGGATATATTTTCTTCAATATATGGCAGTTGCATATTCACTCAGACTTTGATGTGTGATGGTCCACAAAGCAGCATGGATTCCTTTCTTGTCAGTCCAACAATTCCACTGCTGCTCTTTGTATCATGAATGACAGTAGACTTGATACCCATGTCACTCCAAACCCCATTAAAATTGCCTAGGGCTCATCATACTGAAAATTGGCCACTTTTAAAAGCTTGATTGATAGCCACTGGGTAAACAGGTGCCCATCTTGAATAATTTGTTTAGCCCATAGCAACCAAACATGGTGTCATTTCTAACACAGTAGACAGATGAAGATTCCAGTCTCCTTCTCACTCAGCACTGATATTCTGGATCAAGATCTGGTTGGTGTCAAGGAACATCAGCCAGAACTTGAAGGTATGTGATGATGCATAGCCCCATTCTCTGAACTTTGCTAGAAGCAGAATGAGATGATCTGATACCACCTGGTTCAGCCTAGTAACCTCTGCAGTATGCTCAGTCTTTTCTCTTTGTCTCAGATGGCCTATTATGTTCTTTACTCCATCCCACACAATGCTTGGAACATGATAGTTGGCTTGCATGTCATGCCATTCAATGAACTATATGAGGAACAGTTGCTTTAGAGCCTCACTTGTAAGGGTTCCTCGTATGGATCAATGGAACTGCTTCCCCATGAGCATCATGTTAGCTGTTGAATCTGCATATATTCCACTTTCCACCAACAGATCCTTCAAACCCGCATCAGCAAAGAGCTTTCCAACTACCCCAATGAAGCAACATACAATGTGGAAGCCAACAAACCAAACAACAGTATGCTCAAACTCCAGACATTTGCTCCATTTCATGTGCTGTGCTGCAGCATATAGCTGTTGGACCATTGCCTTTACTGAATTCTGCTGTCCTATTTTTTTATGTAAGCTACTTGCATTGCATAATCATTCTATATACCATTTTCAGATCAGAAGGTTTGGCCTCAATAACAGGAGCATATACAGCAACTGTTTTGGATTCCTTCTTTTGGGATACCATGGATTTGAATCTTACCTAAAATGGTATTACTTGAGTGTCTGGTAGATAGAAGTCATCTAGGTATTTGGTAATCCATGCGATGCCATCTGAAGAAGTACCCAAGTAACCTCACAAGCATCTGATGATCCATCTGGGATCTGATGAGCTTTGAACAGAATGAGTGCATTTACCACACATGGTCATTCAGGATGTTGTGGAGGTTTGTCATAGTGAAATGTGTTCCTCAGAATCATGGTATGTTCAGTAGATAAAACCAGACGCTTCTCTCTGCCAACTTTAATCTTTTCAACTGAGCCATCATTGATTGACAAAAAGGCTGATTGTTCCTGAAATATTACAGTAGCCATGGAATGGAATGTGTCTTTTCCATCCACTGTCTCACAGTTGATGTCCACATTGTCATCACCTTCTTGTTATAGTGTAGCACTTTGGTGTCCTTCTATTAGGTTATGTGGAATGCACACTGCCTCATGACATTTCTTGAGCTCATAATTTCCCACCAGTGTCATAAATCACTGCTGGTCATCATATTGCATGCGGAAACTATGAGTGCTCCATACATCTATGAGGTCTTGCTTGCCATACATATGATGAAGTTGTGCAGCCAAGCCTAAATGCAAAGCATTATCACATCACGTCTTGGACAATAGATGATAGTTTCAACCAAGGAAGTAACTTTCTCTGAGTTGGTGAGATGATGAAATTGAGGAACAAGAAAGCAAAGAAAGTAGCCACACTTTGTTTTGGATAATTTCTATACTGAAGCCGCCTTTCAATTTATGGGTCAGCTTTGAGGAAAGCTTGTATATTTATATATGATATTAATTAATTATTTGATGTTGTATTTATTTTGTGCAATAACTTATTTATAAATAATAACTTATTTCCATATGGTAATTCCAAATATTGAGACTGAGTATTTGTTGTCAATATCCACTTTCTGAGGTTCCAGTTCTGAAATGGAAGGAAAATCATCATATTTTTCATATATCATGATCAACAGTTACCTTGACATTTGTACTCATTCAACACAATATGATATAGTCTCATTCACCCTTGCATTCTGCATATTTTGGTACCAACTGGGTATAGATAGCAAGATTTGTAATGTAGTTATGTCAAATTATGTGATTTTTTGAAGCAGCTATAATATTATAAACATGGATATCGTTCAGATGTGTATATTTCATAGACTGCACAAGAAAAAGTAACTACAACAGGGCTATACAAAGGAATCTCAATGTTTGTCTGCCCTTTAATCATTGCTAAAAAAAATTCCATTCAGTGCACTGGTCTATATACCCCATCAATTTTTTGTCATTTCTGAACATGTACATATCATGTGACTACTCTCCACCAATACTATTGTGCCACCTATCCTGGTGCAGCTAGCTCCCTCTGCTATTCCTGCTCAATCCCCACTTTCTTGATTGGCACAGCATTGTTTAACCATGTGTTTTTTGTGTGTAGCTACCATTTATGAATGTGCTTCTTTGCCATTTCAATGTTTCTTCAACAGTTGTATTTTACTGTGTTTGCATTCACTTGCTTCAAAAAATGTTTTTGCATTTATTTCTTTTTACCGAATTAACATAGATTGTAGTATGAATTTGCGATCAATATATCCACTACGGAATTTCCTGTTCCACACAAAAATTGCTACTGTTATGACTTCTCAGGAATTGGTTTCAACTTTATAGGCAGCGGAAGTAAAGGCCTTAATCAGTGTGGGATTTCACATTTTTGCTTTGCTATATCACTGATGTGTTTTTTCTTTCCCGTTTGTAGGGCTGAGCTTGGCTTTGATTTTTTTTCCCTATGTTTGTCATCCTAGAAACCTCATTTTCTAATCATAGTCTAAATTCAGAGTTCTTCCCCATATTATCCACTTTGTTGATAGTTATTTATTGCTCTAAGTCAAGTTTTCCAATTCAGGGCTCCACCTTTCAGACTAATCACAGCTCCTTACATGTTTTGTTGGGGGAGTACAAACTCTTGCTTGACATTTTCACTCTATGAGTCTGTGCATTCTTCCTTCTGTGGATGACTGACTCCTGCTTGCTTTCTCCCATTCACAGACCAGAGACCACACTCCTCTAGGATGCAGAATAGGTGGGATTCCTGTTGACAGTGGAGAACTCTGTTCTCTCCAACCTCAGTCAGGCCCAGCCTTCTCCTCTTTCTCTTTGGGTTTGGAGCAAGCAGTTAATCATCCCTCACCTTTTCTTACAGCTCAAGATGTTCTATCTCTTTGGGGATGTGGGCTTCCTTGGAAGCTCTCATTCTCATGGGTTGAGTTCATACGAGTTCCTTTTAGTGGAACTTCTCCTCGGATCGTTGTCTTGGTGGTTAGGCAGAGTCCAGACTATGGCAGAGGTACTGCTTACTCCACCTTGATTGGATTTACATATGTTTATGCACTCATCTTTAGAGGGTTGTGGTTCTTAACTTGACTCCCAGATGATTTCATGCCTATGGTCGATCAAGGAGTCTTCTCTCCATATCACCTTTTTTGAGCCTTTGGTAGTTTTTTTAGCTTTGTCTCACTTCCTTCTCCTACAGGGGTGGTGGTTATGGTACATTCTGACATCTCCACATTGGACATGTATATCAATGAGCCAGGGGGTACTGATTTCAGGTCTCTACGCTTTCAGATCCTGGATCTCCTTTCTGAACTCAGTCACCACATTTTGGTATTAGCTTGCCTTTTTTCCTGGCTCCCTGATTCTGGTGGTGAATCATTTATCTTCTCCCTACAAGATTCTTCTCAAAGAGAGGTCCCTCATTCCACAGATGTCACCACACTCTGTCTTCACACATGGCTTTTTATCAGGTCCATTGTCTCAGTCCAGGGACTGACTCCATGTGTTGCATCTTTCTTTTACCGATCCATTAGACCTTCTTCCATGTCCATTTATCACAGACGATATTCTATCTTCTGAATTTGGTCTCTTCACCATGGTTTCTGTTCTTCTTATCCTTTCATTTCTCATCTTTTCCTTTTCTTCACCCAATTGTTTGACAATGGCTTGCTCACTTTGTCTGTGTTTAGCAATCGTGCAGCCTTGTTGACCTCCTTTCGTTTTTCTAGGTTTCATCTGGTTTTGTCTTCCCCTGTCCTTTCTCTTCTTTTCTGTTCCTTTGATTTGCCTATTGAGATTTCATTGTGGTCCTTTATGCCTTTTCTTGTCCTCCATTTAAACCTTCATTTTCATGTTCCATCTACCTTCTCTCCCTCAAGACATATTTTCTTCTCCTCGTTGCTTGTGGTCATTTCGTATAGGTATTTATGACATTAAGGTTACCCACATCCTTTACCATTCTTCCTATGTTATCCTCTATCCCAACCAGTCCTTCCTCTCTAAGACCTATGCTGCCAGTTTAGATGGTTTGGCTTCCTCACCCATTCCTTACCTTCCATTTTCCCACCTGTACTCTCATTCCAATTCTGATTACTTTCTTTGTCTGGTTTAAGACTTAAAATGATATATGACATGTACTACCTCCTTTTGGAATTCTTGTTACTAACCTTTTATTCCCTGGAACTCTTCCATTTCCTGAGATATGTCCATGGAAGTTCACCATCTTTGCAGTGTTTCTTCTCATCAGATTCATCACATCACTATGTTCTTGGCTTCCTTTGGAAGAGATTGTTCAGGCCATAATGTGGACTTCTCCCAATACCTTCGTCACTCATGATCTGGCTGTATCTTCCTCTAGTGGATATTGTCTCCCTCCCATGGCAATACTACACACATCAGTTTGCCTTTGACTGGGGCAAGTCTTATCACTTCATTTCATTTATGTTCTTATATGAGAAACCCTAGTTTTAACTGCTGATAATAGAATCCCACTTTGTAGCAAATGTTGCCTGGTCAGGTATACTTTGCCTCAAACCTGTACTAGTTTAGAGTTGCTATATAACACTCACCATAGAGATAAGATGTTTCCATATGACCACTGGTTGCTTACCTAGTGGTATATAAATTCAAAACTCTACTTCAAAAAAAACCTTCACACTTTCCGGTCATTATCCAAAAGCATTGGGGATATCCCATCTATCAGACAAAATCCAAAAGCAGATGAGAAACAGTCAGCAATCATGGAAAATTCATGGGTACAGAGTTGAGTGCTTACACTCACAACATCACAACTCTTACTGTCTTTCACTGTCTGCAGCCATAATGCCAAGGACGAATTATGGAACCTTGTCCATCTGGTTGAGTTTGAGAATGTATATAGCTCATTCCGTTTCTATGTTACTATAACTTGCACCTATGAAACCATATGCTACTTGTGCAAGTAACTTCCTTTCCCACCCATTTTGGATACATTTCCTACTTCCTGGATAAAGAGCATACCTTCCAGATGTAGTGAGGTACCCCACAGGTGTGCTTCATTTTCATCTCTGAGCACACCATTCATTCTGGGGAATTGTTTTCCAGTTAGTTTGATATTTGTGTACTTACACTGGCCCCTCCACCTTTGCAGTGTGGGATTCTAGCTTTTTGTGAGTGGAGGTAAGACCATATTGGAAGTTAACATTTTTCTTACACTGAAAATGTATTTCCAATAGATACTTACCTCCTATCACACAATTCCCACTCTTCCTCCCCACTGCTGGTGTTCTCCTCTTGGAGCTTGCCAATTATTAAAAGTGAGGATTGAGTGGGAATAGCAGAGGGAGCTTGATGTACCAGTATAGGTGGTGCTATTGGTAGAGAATAGTCACATGATATGTACAAGTTCAGAATTGGTGCAAAATTGATGGGGTATATAGACAGGTGTGCTGTTTGCAAATATTTTTTAGCAATGTTCAGAGGGCAGATGAATATCAAGATAGCTTTGTGTGAGAGAAGTACCTATTGGAAATGCATTTTCAGTGTAATAAGTATGTTACAGCATATTGATTTGTTATATAATGTCACCTTTACACCATGATCATTTGTCATACAATGTCACCTTTACACCGTGTTCATTTGTCATACAATGTCACCCTTACACCATGTTCATTTGTCATATAATGTCACCATGATACCATGTTCATTTGTCATATAACATCATCCTTATACCATGTTCATTATTCAGATAACAAAAGAAATTTATCATTGTCACCCAAATGTGGCTGTGTATTACTCAGTGATCAAAATTCTCTAACTCTGTGAAGTGATAGATAAACTTTGATTAGGTTGTCAATTCATTGTTGTGTAATATTGTAATACGGTGTGCAATTGTTAAATTGACTATACCTGAGTATGGCTAGGAATACTTGGCAATGTTGATTCAGGTGGTTTCAATACTGTGTGAAAAAATTCCTTTAAAACTACTATTTTGGTTCTTTCTCTAGTTTTGTTGATCTGATTTGGTTATATATATATACAGTTTATTGTGGAATCAATAGTGACACAATTTCTTGAGTGTTATATTTAATACATGTGAGGCTAGCCTACAATCATACCTTCAGTTAAATAGAATGTTTAATTTACAGCTAAGTTTTTCCTCCTCCTATGGAAAAAACAAAAAAATGGGAGAAAATAAATAATGAATTAATAAAAAAAAATCGAAAAGGCCAGCAAATAAAACTAAAACCAGTATTGGTGTCAGTAAATACTTTATGATCTTTCAAGCCAAACAGGATCACGACAGACCTGGTAGACATGTTCAATATCAGAGATAATTGCTAATGTTTGACGTAAATACGTGCACCAGATGAAGTTCATACAAACTTGTAGTAGGAAACCTATGCATAACACAACGTATAGTAGTAATTAATTTGATTAGCACGTGTTATAACTGTGGATTAGTAAACAGGTAATATAGCATATGGTGACATAAACAAAAATAAGGGAGGTGCTAAAAACATCATTGCAAAGATGTAGTACCAACTACCAAGGGGGTTTTACTGGTAAAACATCTTTAATGCTACACCGCACTTAATAATCTTGGGTACGACTGGTCTAATACTGTTTAAACTTTTAAATTTAGTTGGTCTCCTTTATCAAAATCTGTAAAACATGGAGATCAAGACTCGGAGGGTCAAGACCAAGACCTTCTGAAGGGTGGTTTCGAGACCTACAACACTAACAAGTAAACTTGTCTATAACCACATTCATTATACCCCTTCTCGTATTGGCAGTGTAATCACATATAACTTAAAGAAATCCTGTTTACCTGCAGTATTACAGTATTTGGAAGTGTAAGACTAATGTTGTAAATTATTCTGTCTAATTGAACTCCAAAATTATAGATTAGAATTGGCTGCCATTACTGTTGTCAAATTGGCCATCCTTTCAGTTAATTTAACTTTGGTAAAAAAATTATGCTAGAGCCAGGGACAGAATACTAGTGCTGGTTGGCTTGATCTGAGATTATCCTGTCTGCTTTGATGTTTACAAGAAACTGAAATCTATATGTGAGGCTCCTTTTAACTAGTTGATTGACAGCAGCAGACCAGTTGCAAAAGATATTTCGAACCTGAAGGTCTATGATACATACATACATACACAAACTCCTTAAAGCATGATTAGGGACAATTGAAAAGGGTCAGCATAGAGGTAGGATTTAAATCGTTCGTTATCCATCTAAATAGTGTGTATTTTTCAACCAGTTGTTTGAATTACATAGAATTTACATTCTGCTTTCGTCATATAACATTTTTTGCTGTTCTCATTCCTACAAATATACAAGTTATTCCAAAATATACTACACTCACAAAGAAGCAGAATTTTGAAACCTGTGGAATACCACAATTTTGTTGTGACACTTGATTTCAACATATGCAAAGAACATTATATTTGAGAAACAGGCTCTTCTTTACATTTGTATTTTCTCAGAAACTCAGAAGATAGATCTAATCCAACCCAGCTTCCTTAAGAAACACAGAATGCCTTTTCAAATAACATGTAATAGTGCCAGGGAAGAAATTCCAATGGCAGGAAATATAAAGAACCTGTTTTCATTTGAAGTTGTAAATCTTAATTTTAGTAGTAGTGATTGGATTTTGTATAAGTGTTAATTTGACACATAAAATAGGTCTGGACTTGCATTGTCAGCATGAACTTGTGTCATTGTAAATATTATTATCTATGTTTTATTCAACTATTTTTATTTTGTAAACAAACTAAATGTTTCAATTTATTTTATATGTCTCATTTCATTAATCTGTTGAGTTAGTTTAGAATATTGTTGTAGAGGTGTATAGATTATTTTGTCAAAATGACAAATCTCAAAAATTATTAGATAGACCTTTGTTTAAATAAAGTAAAATGGTACTAAGGTAGCAGCCCCCCAGTGGCACAGCGGTATGTCTGTGGACTTACAATGCTAGAATCCATGTTTCGATACCTGTGGTGGGCAGAGCTTAGATAGCCCATTGTGTAGCTTTGCGCTTAATTACAAACAAACTAAGGTAGCTGGCTGTTTTTGTTTAAGTAATCCCTTTTATGTAGCAGTTCATTTGTGGCCAATGCATCCCATACAGAGAAAAAATACATATCTATGAAGTAAAACATTTTGGGAAGAAATGAAACATGATGCAAACTGCACCTTTAATATTGAAGTTAATGTTTAATAAGTAAATTAATTATTTTGTAATGTGCAAATGCCTTAACTAATTACGTGTGTATTTCTTGAAAACTATTTTTAGTTAAGCATGCTTGTTTCAAGCATCCATTAGTGTGGTTACTTGGTGAACTGTTGATATCAAGAAAGTAAGACTCATCATTTACAAAACATAAAAAAAAGTCAATTTTTATTTTAATTCTATACTGTAATTGATGTATGAAAAGATATGTCATTACATTTATATATGTATATGCATGTGCTTAAGACTGAATAGTTATCACCGTGAGAATTAATCTAAGTAGAGATTCTTATTTTGACCAGAAGTGTATCATGATTATTGTTCAAAAACATTTATGATCCTTTGTGTGCTATACAGGTGATTGTAATAGGCTCTCCTGCAGAAGAAGGAGGTGGTGGAAAGATTTTCCAGATTGAAGGAGGTGTTTTCAATGACATTGATGTTGCTCTGATGGCACACCCAAGTCCAACAGATCATTTATTTCCACCCTTCATTGCTATTAAGAGAGTGAGTGGAGTGTTTGTGTTATTCTGAAGTTAAGTTTATGTACTTTTATATACAGGTTATTGTGATAGGCACCCCTGCAGAAGAAGGTGGAGGAGGGAAGAACATACTTATAGAAGGAGGTGCTTTCATCAACATTGATGTTGCTCTGATGGCACACCCAAGTCCAACAGATCACTTATTTCCACCTTTCATTGGTTACAAAAATGTGAGTTATTTTTGGTTTAAATTAAATCGAAGTTGATTTTTAAGACAGTACAGTTGTACTTTGAGACTGTAAGCTAATGATGTATAGAAATTAAGCTATGTGTAAGTTGCATGTGTGATATTTCAATAATTAATTACAGTTTCTTGACCTTCCTGTATATGGAAGGACAGATTTAGTAATTAGTTGCAGGTGGAGGGAATGTAACAAAAAGTTTAAATAAATCAGTTATTAATTGAAAACAAACAGAAGAATGACTGATCAGTAAGTAGGACTATTGCATTGTTGTATGGTGTTAAAATTAATAAAAGAATTGACAAAATTGTACTTAATTTTATAATAAAAAACTGTATTTGATAAAAGATATCAGTAGAATAAAGATTGTCAATAGAAATAAAGTTTAAGAAAGAACTAAAAAACACCCAACTTACTCAGGTATTGATTTTTCTTAGTCAGAAATGTTTGAAAATGTCAGAATTATATTTACAAGTGATCGTCACAGCAACTGATAAATCAGGAAACTGGATCATGAAAAGGCTCCTGATTAATCGAGGATGTATTAGGTGCAGGGTATGATGGTTATGGTGGTAACGGAAGATAGTTAAGGCCAGGTTGGTGAATGTTTTCTGCCCACTGTAGCTTATGTCTAGCCATTTCCAAAAGGTTCATTCAGCATGAGGCTTCAGGACAGCTGGAATGCTTTCTTGTATATTGGAATGAAGTTAAATAAAACAAACACTTTATTAAATGAAATAAACAACAGAAGTATTGCTGATCATTAAGTAGGAGTATTGCATTGTTGTATGAAGTAAACATAAGTTAAAAATAAAGAAAATAAACTGTATTTTATAAGAGAAGAAATGGAATAAACCTCATTTATAAATGAAATTAAGATTTTTAGTATTAAATAACTGAGAAATATTAATAGGTAACACAGGCCTGCAAATTTAAACTTCATAAAAATTGCTTTAGTTTTGATAACGGATTTTTCATAATTCATCTACGCCAATTTCTAAAATAATATTCATTTTTTCTATCATATTAGGATTTTTTACTTGGGAAGAAAAACAAATTATTATTTTGTTTACCACAATGACATTTTTTTATTATTATGTTTGTTCAAGACAATAAAACCATCGTCAGTCTGGAAATCAGTAGAAGTAATGGTTAAAAAGGATCACAAACACAAAAGAGACTTTACGAGCAAGTTACAAGTAAATCTCTTTCAATATTTCAAAAACTACATTTAATGTTCATTTCTCTGTAGCTGACCCATCAGAAAACTGGATCATGAGAATCAAAAATTATCCTACCCCTTGTGGTAATCGTGGTGTAATGTTACATACATTAAAGTAAAACAGAACTTTTCCATGAATATAGCATAATAATTTCTGTGATTGGGACCTGCTACAGAAAATAATGACTAATGTTGAATTTAGCACATGACCTCTAAAATATGTGTTGTGGTCTATCTTAAAACTTAGACAATTTAAACATATATCATGGGAGAATGAGTTTTATATTGATTACTAGAAATTGAAAGACATGCTGAAGAGTCTGTTTTTTTTTAACCGACAAATGGTGTCAATGATTATAATTATTTTCATGTATTTGTAGTTTTTGAACTGTAAGCAAATAATTCCATTGTTTTATTTTATAAAAGTTTCTTCTGTTTGTATAATTGATATTGTAGTTTTAGCTGAAGTGTTTAGTAGCTTGTAATTTATTGTATTTTGAAGCATATTTTGTTTATATATATTGGTCAATAGAATATTTATTAATATATGTATATATAGATTTCTTCATCGAGCTCTTTGTTTGTTAATTATCGTTAATAGTTAACTGTGGACTACAAGGGGAAAGCAGCACATGCAAGTGGCTACCCTTGGGAGGGTATTAATGCACTAGATGCAGTTGTAGCTTGTTATAATAGCCTTGCTTTCTTGAGACAGCAAATCAAACCAACCAATAGAATACATGGTATGTATACATAATTTATTTTTTCTTGACTAAGTGTCTTGACATCTTTTCTTGTACTTTTTGTTTTTATTTTCTCATTAGTATGTTGCACAATCTATTTCAGTTTTTGGCAGAATTTGACCTGAGCATAGCTCGATGGTTAGTGTATTAGACTGAGTTAAAGATGTGATTCTATTAAATACTTCATATTACACAAAGATATAAAACCCTATAACCTAAGTGCTTTCTAAAGGTGGACCTTTCTTCATCAGGGACAAACTGGGAATGTTTTTTATGGTTTGGCCAGGATTATTAGGATTGTTTATTAGGGTAAGAACTAAAATCTACCTGGACAAGACTGTTTGGGTGCCAAGTACTAGATGGTTTCTTTGTTAAGTTTCTTATTTTGGAGGAGTTCTTTAAATTTGTCACTGATGGTTTTTGTAAACTGTGTTGTAGGGTCTTGTGTAAGTTTTTGTAGAAATTAGTCCTCAAATTGGTGGTGTGCTTTAGGGGTACATTATTTTTTAAATGTGTCACTGATGGTTTCAGTAAACTGTGTTGTAGGGTCTTGTTTAAGCTTTTTGTAGAAATTAGTCCTCAAATTGGTGGTGTGCTTCAGGGTATATTCTTGTTTGCTGGCTGTGGTGTGTTAATGGAACGTGCATGTGCTCGGTCCATTAAACTGACCCCACATTGGAGAAGGAATATTGACTATAATTCTGAATTTATTATGTGTATGTACATGAAATGTTGTATGCTTTTAGTGAAGTGGACAGGTTTGTTGTACACAAAAATCAGATGAGTTACAAAGGTATTCGTACACAAGACATGTCTGTGAGTTGATGACGTTAGTCTGACTCAAACTCTGGCAAGTTGGAGTTAAGAATAATGTTCATCTGAAGAATAAAAATATTTTTGTCCATCGTATAGTTTGCACACATACATTTTTTTAACCTCTAGAGCCTCTGAAATGCATATCTACAGTTTTTTCAGTGTCTCGTATTTCTCTAACATGAACTGTTGCTAAACTAACAATGTAGGGTAAAATGAATATTTGATAACTGATATCAAAAATACGATGTTGAATGACACACTGTAAAGATTGTAGATTGTCCATTTTGACCCCCACCCTTGGAATGAAAGGCAATCCCACTATTTTGTTAAAAATAGCCATTTAAGGCAGTGAATGCTATTTACTGTTTGCCTTCTTTCTGGTTCATAGTTCAAAATTAATAGGGACAGCTATTCTTTAGCAATAGAAGTATGTGACTGATCTGACCACTTAGCCTATATATGCATAAGGTGTTGTTCAAGTAAACAATTAAAATATGTAGAATTTATTAAAATTTTGTAAAATGATCATTTTTTGCATTTTAACCTTTAAAAAAACTGAATGTATACAATAAATACACATTATGCCAGTAATAACTTCTCCAATCCAGGTTTCATTGTTTGTTTTATAAATACACATCATGCCACTAATAACTTCTCCAATCCAGGTTTTATTGTTTGTTTTATAAATACACATTATGCCACTAATAACTTGTCCAATTCGGGTTTTATTGTTTGTTTTATAAATACACATTATATCACTAATAACTTATCTAGTCCAGTTTTCATTTTTGAGTCATTTCATCATGCTCAAGCAACCTCAGGTGCCTACCTTTGACCAGGACAAAGGTGTTATTTTTTTCTGGAACCTATATTTCATTGTTTTCCAATATGTTTCTAATGTATGCCATCACTGTATAGTTAATCTCTCTAAAATCAAAATTTCTAAGTCAACAGCTTTAATCTGTTTTCCATTTTCGTTATCTTGTCATTCACAATTAAAATATATTCTGATATCAAAGAGCATAAATTCTTTAAGCAAGTAAAGGATACTCGAAGTTATTGACTGGAAAATGGTTGTGATTTCAAAGTAACATATGCAGTATGAAACCTTCAATAACCTTGTTAAAATCCTAGTTGCAAGGAATAACATTAATTTCACTGGGCTGTTTATCTCTTGTTCTTATATAACATTCATTTAGAAAAATATTTGGAGAACCTGTGTTCAGTTGGTCAGTCTTTGGTGTCCTCCTAAGCTACTATAGGTTTAACATTTATTTTAAAGTCCGAGATACTCGATACTCCTTTTGACCTTGTAGGAATGGCTAATATTGTTTGGCCTGAGATTGATACAGTTTTTTGAAATCTGGGAGAATTTGCTATACAGGCTGATGCAATGTCATTGCACCATTCTGATATTTGTAAGTCCTGCCTTTATAGCTCTGTGAAGTTTGTACATAGCAGATAGCCCGGTGTGGCTTTGATAACAGAAGAAACACCTTTGTTAATTTCAAAATTCTTGTAAATACAAATACTTGGCAGGAGTAGCAAAATAAAAAATAGATTAGGCTTCTACATTATTCCTGGATACTTTCTTTTCTTCATTGAAATTACATGTTTTAGTGAAAAGAATAAAAATTCCCAATTAATCAAATACTTTCATTACAAGTGTGCATAATTATTGATCTGTCCTTTGGAAGAGTTCAGTTATGAAGTTTTTAGAACTTGTTAATGTAAAGTTTGGAAAGTTACTGAAAATTTTGTTTTGTGGATAGTATTAGCTTGTTAAAATGCATTGCCTACAGAAAGTTTGTTTGGAAAATGGGGGTTATCCTGCAGAAAATATTAACATATTAAATGTTAAATTCAAAAAATGTAGTTTTCTTTTACTGCAAGTTTAAAAGAGTTTAGAAGTTCAAAATTACCTACATATTAATGTGAAACAGAAAAATTAACACTTTCAGTCTTTATATTATTTAGCTTTGTTAATTATTAACTTGAATTTTGATAGACTGTATTAAAACTGAATAATTACCATACATAATGTATGGTGTATGTTAATAAATTATAATTCTGTAAATTTTATTCAAAAGATTTTTTGAGCAACTTTAGTCTATAACTCATGGGCCTTATTGGAAATAAATATGATAAAAGAAAGGAAAAAACAAAGTATGTGTACTTAAGGAACACATATGAAATTAAAAATGCTGAAAGTAACTTAATTCAAGATTTGAAAGAATGCATGAAAAATAGTCATTTGTTAATGGTATGCTGTAGCCTAATATTTCTGTAAGTGTTACTACAAACACTGAATTAATGTTTTTGGTCTAATGTGCAATGACAAATAAACATGTAATAAAGATAGAGATGTGTAGAATCGGCATTTTATTGATTAAAGATGGTCTAATGTGCAATGACAAATAAACATGTAATAAAGATAGAGATGTGTAGAATAGACATTTTATTGATTAAAGATGGTCTAATGTGCAATGACAAATAAACATGTAATAAGGATAGAGATGTGTAGAATCGGCATTTTATTGATTAAAGATGGTCTAATGTGCAATGACAAATAAACATGCAATAAGGATAGAGATGTGTAGAATCGGTATTTTATTGATTAAAGATGGTCTAATGTGCAATGACAAATAAACATGCAATAAGGATAGAGATGTGTAGAATCGACATTTTATTGATTAAAGATGGTCTAATGTGCAATGACAAATAAACATGCAATAAGGATAGAGATGTGTAGAATAGACATTTTATTCATTAAAGATAAATTCTTGGCTCACTTTATAGAAGAACGTTATTGTGTATGACAAAACAATGAGTAATTTTATGCCCATGATAATCTTATTCTCCTTAACATCTAATAGATTAAGTGCTGTCAAGTTTATTGTCCCTTCGTACAGTGAAGACACACCTAGAGTATTTACTTGCTCTATTGGATAAATGTAGTTGTTTAAGTTCTGTAACTGATTGCCTCAATGTACATTTGTTCACATAAAATCGTAAACTCGATTCAAATAATTAAGCATACCTAACTCATCTTAGTTAATGTATACCTATTAGTGATTTCACTGTATATTTGGTAGTTGTCTGATTTATAAACAGTGTTGTGAAGTACATGTAATTATCAAAAATTTTAAAATAACTTTTTATACATTCCATACTCTAAGACAGTTTGGAAACAGTTTCAAATATGTACTTTATCTAGGGAGCACTGATATATCTTTATCTAAACATCAGTATTGTTGGTTAAATCTTATGAATTCTTGAATTTGTTTTGAAAACATAGTGTGTGGTTTACCTCCATATTGAAGGAGTAAGGTTAGATATAATCTAAAAATATACTTTGAAGCTATACTGTGTGGTTAGCCTCCATATTGAAGGAGAATCATTAGCTATACTCTAAATCTATACTGTGTAGTTAGCCTCCACGTGAAGGTGCATTGTTAGATATATTCTAAATCTATAATGTGTAGTTAGCCTCCACGTGAAGGTGCATTGTTAGATATATTCTAAATCTATAATGTATAGTTAGCCTCCACGTGAAGGTGCATTGTTAGATATACTCTAAATCTATGCTGTGTAGTTAGCCTCCACGTGAAGGTGCATTGTTAGATATACTCTAAATCTATACTGTGTAGTTAGCCTCCACGTGAAGAATCATTATAAGCTATATTCTAAATCTATAATGTGTAGTTAGCCCCCACGTGAAGGTGCATTGTTAGATATATTCTAAATCTATAATGTATAGTTAGCCTCCACGTGAAGGTGCATTGTTAGATATACTCTAAATCTATACTGTGTAGTTAGCCTCCACGTGAAGGATCATTATAAGCTATATTCTGAGAACTATACTGTGTAGTTAGCTTCACGTGAAGGATCAGTATTAGTTATATTCTGAAATTATACTGTGTAGTTAGCCCACATGTGAAGGATCAGTATTAGTTATATTCTGAAACTATACTGTGTAGTTAGCCTCCATGTGAAGGATCATTATTATCTATATTCTGAAACTGTACTGTAGTTAGCGTCCACGTGAAGGATCATTATTAGCTATACTCTGAAACTATACTATGTAGTTAGCCTCCATGTGAAGGATCAGTATTAGTTATACTCTGAAACTATACTGTGTAGTTAGCCCACATGTGAAGGATCAGTATTAGTTATATTCTGAAACTATACTATGTAGTTAGCCTCCACGTAAAGGATCATTATTATCTATATTCTGAAACTGTACTGTAGTTAGCGTCCACGTGAAGGATCATTATTAGCTATATTCTGAAACTATACTGTGTAGTTAGCCTCCACATGAAGGATCATTATTAGCTATATTCTGAAACTATACTGTGTAGTTAACCTCCACGTGAAGGATCATTATTAGCTATATTCTGAAACTGTACTGTGTAGTTAGCGTCCACGTGAAGGATCATTATTAGCTATATTCTGAAACTATACTATGTAGTTAGCCTCCATGTGAAGGATCATTATTAGCTATATTCTGAAACTGTACTGTGTAGTTAACCTCCACGTGAAGGATCATTATTAGCTATATTCTGAAACTATACTATGTAGTTAGCATCCACTTGAAGGATCATTATTAGCTATATTCTGAAACTATACTGTGTAGTTAGCCTCCACGTGAAGGATCATTATTAGCTATATTCTGAAACTATACTGTGTAGTTAGCCTCGACATATAAATATATGGTGTTGGATTTTAACATATTATCAAAATTAAGATTTCATCTGGTATTGACTTGAGTAAAATGTATAAACTAATTAAACCTAGACTTATACTCAGGGCAATTTTAGCAATGCTTTTAGCAGATAGTGCTAGCTTGTTGAGGAATTGTTGAATTAATATCTCATACTAAAATATTATGTATTACTGTATGGTACTAATGTGATGCTGCTGTCTTTGTCTTGTGAATTCCTACAATATATGTAAATAATTTATTTTTTTTACAGTAATTGTATTTTTGAAAATATCAGTGATTGGTTTATGGAATTAAACTTCTTTTAATTATTATATTACTCGGAATATATGTTTGCCTGATAGTTTTATTTTTACAGCTTATATATTGTATTATGTTATTAAACAGCTGGGCAACACTGAAAGGTCAACATTATTTTTAATCTCATTTCATCACAGACATTGTGAGCAGGACTAAACCATTGCCATATTTAAGAGATATTTTCAATGTAAAATGTTTTCTTTGTTTTTTCCCCCACATGTGCCCTAGATTTTAATGTTTGGGAATACATTAAGCTGGACCATCAAAACATTCTTCAAGTTTTACATTGCTTTTATGATGATCATTGATTATAGAGGAATTACTTCTAACAATGATGATTGTTAAGTTTTTGAGTTATTAATTGTGTTTGGACATTCTTCTTGTTTTTTAAAATTTATGTACTTTGTGTTTAGTTCTATATAACATTTGTTCTCATTCAGAAACTAATGACTGTTTGTTTTATGAGAACAAAATAAATGTTTTTATCTGTTATAATGAAATCTGTTTTCTTGTTCTGTTTCCTAGCAATTATTACAAAAGGAGGTGTTATTGAAGGTATAATTCCAGAAGAAGCACAGATGAAAATTGTTTTTCGGGCAGCTAACTTGGAGGATCTGAAAAGTTTACAAGAAAAAGTCATTGCTTGCATCTTTGCGGCTGCTACCTCAACGGGTTGTGAAGTTATGTATAACATTAATGAAAGAAGCTATGAACATCTACTGACCAACAAGGAACTTGCAAATACGTACAAGAAACATGCAGAAGCAATGGGTACGTCCTGAACACTAACACGTAATGAGTATAGATTAACTTTTGTATGTGTTTTGGTTTGGAACACGCATGAAATTTAAATTTTTTAAAACTGTGAAAAACATTATATGAAATGTTAGTGAAAGAATTTATTGTACAAAATCATCAATTATCTGTTGATAAAAGATGATGTATTCTTTATCATAAGTATTTTTTATTATCAAATGTGATTAAAGTTGATATAGATATAAAAAAAAAGTTAATGTACCTCATTTGTGCTTTAGGGCAGAAAATCTGCAAAACAATATGGTCTCGGATATATGTACTTGTACAGCTACTATATAATATTGCACGTAATCAACTGTTGAATGTGAAATGCACACAGTGCTGTATATTTGAAATGTTGGGAAAAAGTTTTAGTTATTTTAAAGTTCTAAATTTTCCTTACCAAAATACAAATGTTAGAAATAAGTTATGTTACCGTGTTTACTATAATTTTTCACAAACAAGGTTTCTAAATGTACATTTTAAACAAAAGTTCATTCAATTTGGTAAGAAATTCAACAACATTCTTGCTACAAATTATGGGTTCAGAAGTTTTAGAGTATAATGACCTTTTGAATAATTCCTTGAAATGTTATTTAGGGTAATAGTGAAGCACTTTAACCACCACTGGTTTTACTTCCTATTAGTTTAATTTGTTACAATATATAGTTAATTCTAGCTATATAATAGTTCTATATGACATCATATGATTAGTTAGTTTTTAATAATTATATTCTTTGTCATATTAATCAGTAATGTAACTTACTTTCTAAGTCTTATTATATTTATTGAATATTCTAAAGGCTTATCATGTTTCTTTTTTGTCTTTTGCAGAAACTTTAGTGTTATTTGTTACTTCCTGTAGCCAGCTATATGTGTTTAAGTAAGAGTTTAGAATATGCTAATTACTTTATCAAGTCTCAAAGATGACAACAAATCAACAAAAATAAACCTTCACCGTGTTTGGAGTTCATGGTATAAATTATTCCCAGCTGATTTGTCACAAATGTTCAACTTTTTTTATTCTTTTCCATTCTACATGTGATATACTTTTTGAAAGAAGTGGTAAAGATTTAAATGTAAAGGAGATGGAAGTTGATTTCCTTGCTGTGATACCATGTGTTTAAGTTAGTGTTATTATTTCAGGTGTTGTATTTCAAGATGGAGATCACAGGATTATTCCCTTCATGGCCTCTACAGACATGGGGAATGTTTCTCACATTGTGCCAAGTATCCATCCCACATTTTCGATCAACACTTCTGCACCTAACCATTCAAAAGCCTTCACTGAAGCTGCAGGGGCTACAGCTGCTCAGACCCCCACACTGAATGCTGCTAAGGCATTGGCTTTAACTGGCCTTGAAGTATTGCAGAGTACAGAATTATTGAATGCAGTTAAAAGACAGTTTGAAGAAGATATCATTGCAGAAAACATAGGATCTTCCTAAGCTTTAAGGAGAGTCATTGTGTTTTGTATTTTTTTCTGCAAAACTAAAGAGAATTTTTTTTCTAAAACTTTGCAAAATTTCAAGCCATACCTTTAGAGGTTTCTTAAACTTCTGTAACTTCAGTGTTAATGAGCATATAAAAACTGGTATGTATGGTTACTTATTTGAAACACATGTACACAATGAAAAAGGGGAAATAGATCCCTAAAATATTGTATTCTTTTGTAGCAGTTAATTAATCAAAATCTTATAATGGTCAGAGAATATTATATTTACATTTATTGATCTGTGTCAAATATGTTAATTTTTCTTTATTTTAGTATACTTTTTTTTTCCAGTGAAGCTGTTCAGAAATCATGTATTCTACTATCTATAATTGATTTCTACAAAATACTCTGAATGTGTTTCATTGGTTTATGTGAAATTGTGTTAAGAGAACTTGTAGTAAATGGGTGCCAGTGATTTCTTAATTCAGTTTTTTCAGAATCATGTATGTTACAATAAAATTATTGTTTTATAATTAATGAGAGTAGAATGTTCATGCTGTCATTCCTCAAAGTGTGGAAAGTTGACCATGTTAGGTGTTGTTATGAGATTACACACAGAGTATTGCTTTCTTGGATCTGGGAATCTGAAATCTACACATTCCATGTATGTATCTATTTCTGATTATCAGAACACCACACATCCAATGTCTCCAGACTTTAAGCTAAGCAATAGAAATTACACATCCCATGTATGTACATCTTCCCGATTTCTAGAATGTTAATTACATATAACTATTTCATTTAAATTTAATATGAGAGTTGTGATTTAGATAGTTATAAAGCACGGGTGTTAAATTTAGTATTTTGAAGCAATAATTTTTTGTACATTTGCTTACGTAACTGTTTACAAATCAGTTGTTGTGAATTGACATCAAATTACTTGAACCTTCTGAATTTTACTCATTGCTTTAAGTGAGTATTGTTACATCATAACGTCTAGTAGTTTGTAGGAATTTCTAGGCTGCAGTCAGGCAATATATATAGGTGATTAGTGAAAGTAAAAGTAAAGTTAAACTGTATGTGAGTTTAGCTGTAATGGGTGATTTCTAAAGTGAGTTTCACAGCTTGTATTGTAATAACAGAAATAGAGAAAAATATTTTGTCTTGTCAAAGGAACAATTATTTAAAGCTCTGGATACAATTGTGGTAACCCATGGGTTAACATAAGTGAATTTACCACTGATTGTGTTATGATAACAGAGTAGAAAAAAATAACTTGTCTTGTCAAAAGGTGTTCTAAAGTAACTGAGCCAGACTGTGTGGACTTTGATGAAAAGGAGGCTATTTTAAGCTCTGGATACAACTGTGATAGCCAATAATGTAACAGATTTTTATATATACATTTGACTTGTTTTAATATATTATTTTAAAACAAGTGGATTGTATGCTGTCAGTTTATTGTTCAAATTTATCACCAACAAATCACACACACACCTACTGTAAAAAATCATGGCCTTATCAAGATCTTGGGGCAAATTCATGGCCCAATACAGATCCAGCCTATCTGATATCACACAAAGTGGATATTTTGTAAAGTTTAAACCTGGGTATACAAAAAATGTTAAGTTCTATTATGGTAAGTGTATAAGGAGATACCAGGCTTTTTACTATGAAAACATACCCAAACACACAGCTGCTATATTATTACTTGAACATGGTAAATAAAGATCTAACTGGCGCTTACCATACATTATTTATGTTGGAAACTCCAAAATGTCTGGATAACAACTTGTTCCTGCAATAGAGAATATACAACTATTAAACTCCTTAGTTAAAAAAAACACCCTAAAGGTAAAGAATCAGTATAATTTTGATTTAGAAGTTACATGTGATTGAATTTTCTTTCAAGACACATAAGTGACATAAAAGATTCACATCATAATATGGAAAAGTATTAATTTTTTGTTTCAGATTTTACCACAAAGCTACACAAATGTTTATCTACTGATAAACTAAAAGAAAGTTAGCTAGTCAATACAAAGTCAAAGCACTACCGAAGATAAAGACAGAGAGAGTAGCAGAAGCCCTCTTGGAAGTGTTTTGCAGAGTAGGCTTCCCAAAAGAAGTTTTGAGTGACAGAGGGACCCAGTTAACCTCAGAACTGATGCAAGAGGTGTGCAGACACATCAACACTAGTCAGTTTTTTACCACCCCATACAACCCTAGATGTAATGGAGTCTTAAAGAGCATGCTGAAGAAGATGTGCCAGGAGAGACCACGTGACTGGGATAGGTACCTGCAGACAGTATTTTTTGCTTATTGAGAAATCCCATAAGCAAGTACAAGAACAATACGAAGTCCAATGCAGGTATTGAAAGAGATGTGGATTGGAGAACAGTCAGAAGTGAGAAACACATACCAGTACATGTTAGACCTCAGAAACTGACTGGAGGAAGACCTGTCAACTCGTTCAAGAGACCCTGTATGCAGCTCAAGGCAGTCAGAAGCACTTCTATGACAAAAAGGCCAAGGACCAATGTTTCAAGGTTAGACAGAAGGTCTTGGTTCTGCTACCTACAGACAACAACAAACTTACTCTGCAGTGAAAAGTGCCTTTTAAAGTGTAGGAAGTTGTCAACAGAATCGATTATAAGGTGAAAGTGGACGGGAATACCAAGATCTACCAGCCAGTATGTGAAAGAGGTACTTCGAGAGAGAGAAAAAGACTTAATGGGAGCAGACTGTATGAGTAAAATTTGTGCACGAACTGAGAACAGTCTTTATATATAGTATAAAATAATTTAAATGTTTTTCTTGAACAAGAAATTATTAAGTATACACGACTGTTGCATTTAAATTTAATATTGTTACGACAGTGGAAGTTACGTGAGGCTGCTGGCGCATGCGTAACTGAATCTCTCGAATTATCGGGGAACTCTGCAAATTTTGGAGAAGCCTCTTTGTTAGTATGAGCCTGGCGAGAAAAGCCAGCGGAGTTAAGCAAACAGTAGTTATGGTGAGGTTCGGGTAATTGACGATTCTGTTTCGAGCTAGTGTGTGTTTTGCACTTGCAGAGAG